TGCACGAGTTCTGAATCTCAGTATATTGTTCAAAGCTCAGAATCCGGAGCCTGGGGTTCCACCTTTGACTCTACCAGTCATCAAATAAGCCACACCATCAAGTTGGACCTCACTTCCCCCATTTGTGAAATGAGGGCATTTATCTATAACAGAGATCCTGAATTCAAAGGTCGTTAGATACCTACAGATCAAAGAAAGGAGAAACCACTAACTAGAGAAGCTGTCAGCCATAAGGTAACTGGGCATGACAGGGATTTAAAACTGAGAAGGCATGCCCTACCTAAAGGCGTTTGTTGGCTCAGTTAAATCTATCTTCAAGCCCCTTGGCTGAAGACTGGATTGGGCTGTCAGTTTGTGAGTTGTATGATACCTTAAGCCCTGACATTCTCTAACCCCAAACCCCTCTGTGTAACTGCTCTTGCCTCTGAATAATTTTCCCTTAAATAATATTTATAACAGAATATTAACAAATGTGATAAAAGATGGGATATAATTTTATCAATCACATGAGCCATCCCTTTGCTTATAGGAAGAGATATCACACTAGCATGAAGTTGATTTATTAGTAAGCAGCCGTCACTTGAATGCGAGCAGATATATGAATGCATTGCAGAAAAGGTACAACAAAACATTGCGGCTTAAAAAAATAATACAGATTCTTAAAAACACTTTTTGCCACGCAGAGCTGGCATTTGGAAAAGACTGGATGAAATGTGCAGAGGAGACAATTACTTCAGGAAAATGAATATCAGCATCTCCTTTACCTTAATCTTCCCCTTTATTAGAAGCTCTCTGGTCATTTTGGAAAAGACTTTCTGGCAGAAAAGGCCCACAAAGAGCATACGGAGTCTTTGCTGTAGACCAAGTGTTTTGGGAGCATGCCAGTCAGTTATAACACAACTAGTGGGCTGGTGCACAAATTTGTGCACATTGAAAGGAAATTAATTAAAAGAAATATTTTAATATCGCTATTCACCCTTTCTCTATAATGGAAGTGTCAACCAAATTCATGATCAACAATGACAGATCAAAACACACACGTGCGATTGGCACCAGCAAGAGCTTTATATGTATCACGAATGTGCGAGTCAACTTAGCCTTTTATAGATATAGAATAAACTTGCTTAATTAGACCTGCTTTCTAATTTGGCTAAACTTTTTCCAGCCCAGTGAAGCACCCCAACTTCTCTTTCAGGTAATTGTCAGCAACAGAGCAGTAAATATCAACAGAAAGCAGATTATTATTGTAGATCACACAGGCAGAACAAAGGGTAAAATATGTAACTGCAGCAGTGTTTGACTATATCTGCACAGTGAGAAAACCTGAAGTCATTTTCAAGGTCCACCATTTCTTCTTTTCAGTCGGGTCAAGTTTCTAAGCTTTGTAAATCTTTGTTTTCTGGTTAATGAAAAGAAAATAGGATTCCACTGAGTCCCCTATCTACCTACTCCAGGACTTCTGTGAGGATCAAATGAGATAAGGCATGGGAAAACGCTTCACAGACATTTGGTTAAAGTGTAAAATGTTTCCACCTGACTATAAAGCAAGTCATGTTCCTGGGCTGAAGAAACTCCATGGAGGCTAGTCACTAGGGAGAGGAAGGTGGGCGTTGCTACGTGACATCATTATCTGGTGCCCACAGCCACCGTTTCTGGGTTGGGCTGGGCTGTGGGCCACATTTTGAGCCATGGGGTCTCGGCAGCATCAGCTGCAATATGGTGGGCTATCGCTCCAGGGTTGTGGCAGGGCCTATGTACCACTTGGGGGAAGTGAGTTTTTTACTTTGTGGGCACCAGGTCCATGTGCCAGTGCATGTCACGGCAGCTCCTTCATTGAGCGTCTGCCTCCTGGTGGTCAGTGCGCGTCATAGCGACTGGTCGGATAGTAGGACACTTATCATATTAGCCTTTTATATATATAGATGTACTGAGGTTGTAGCCATGTTGATATGAAGGTATGTTTGGGAACAATGGCTAAGGTGGTAAGTATGAATAAACGTTACTGCTCTTAAAAACCTAAACCTCATGACTCATATGGTCAGTACAGGAATTTACACCAACAATGCTATTAAAAATATTTATATTGCATTGGACTATGTTCAACAGCTACATCTAATGGCAGTAACCAACAGTAGCAATAATGGACTAATCTCACTCTCTGATTCTCTCATTACTTGCATTTGGAAGGACAATTAAGCAGCCACCATTTAAGCGACATAAATTCAGATATTCTCGGAAAATTGGTAGTGCAGAATGACTCCAGAAGGGGAAAAAAAGTAATAATTTTTTAATATGAAAATGTTGGCTCTTGAGCAAAACTTTAAAAACAGAAATACATTGCATCCATTAGCTATTGCCACAATAATGTTGGGTAACAAATAATCATGGTTTTCCAGTAGCATTTAACAGTAAGCGATGAGCTCACTAGAGTGCAGCTGAGCTAGGCTAAGTTCAGCTGGGCCACTGTACTTCTCCCTGCAGATCTCTGGGTAAGTGCAGCAGCTCTGTTCTACATCCTTCTTGGACCATCAGACTGTGGCTTGTTCTTTGAATGGTGGTGGCAGAGGCAATATTCAAATGCACAAGTACATTTTAAGCCCTTGCTTGTGTCATGTTTTCTAACATGCTATTAGCCGAAGAAGTTACATGGCTGAGCTCAAAATGAGGGGGCAAGAGGGTATATTCCTCCAGTAGAGGAACAGAAAGTGATAGGGCAAAGGCATGATGAATCAAGGCCAATAACGGAATCTACAACAGATGTGAACATATTGTTGTATCTTGAATTGAGGAAAAGGGTTTATCAGATAATTATAGATTTGGATGATCTTCAAGGTTTTATAGGTTGCCTGTGAAATAAAACACATTGCTTTTTGCCGTTGCGATATGTGGTTGAAAAAATATATAAAAGATCCTATGTGAGATGTGTATTCATGTGCATGCACACGAACTTGCTTATATCAAATATAAGTTGAATTCTGTGGCTGAGACTAACTGATCATCAAAGATCCGTGCTTCCACTTTAAGCTTTAGATTTGTTACTAGAAATTGGATGCACATCCAGGAAGTAGCTTTTCCAGTCTCCCTTGTATGTGGATGATGCCAAGTGACTAATCCTTACCAATGGAATGGGATGTGCCATGGCGCAGACCAGGGCAATTGAGAAGTAGATACCCCTTCTCCACCTGCTCTTCCCACCTTCCCACGTGAATGCAGAAGGTTCTGAGCCCCTATCTGACAAATTAGCCTCAAGATGGATCAATTGTAGGTTTCTGGATCTTGTGGAAGCCCACTTGCCCACCAGGAACACTTACATAGTGTTGCATGATTAAGAAATGAGCTTCCATTGTGTTCATGTGATCCCACTAAGTTGGGGTAAGAATTTCTTACAGCAATTAAAAAAGTCCTATAGAGAAGCTGCTGAAGCTCCTTTTCTCATTTTAAAGAACTTAAAGAGAAGGATAAGATAGTCAAAGAGAACATTTACTGCCCATCTACCATGTGCAAGGCTCACAGCTAAATGCATCATACAGTTAAATGTTTCCAACCTGGGATGTGGTTTAATGAACTATGGGGGCGGGTGTCAAAAGAGGTTGATTCTTTCCTTATCTGCTACATTGGGCTCTGCAAGGGTAGATGAGTAAAGAATAGTAAAAGCCCTCTATTTTGACATGGTACCGTGGAGCCATGTTATACAAGTCAGCAACATTGTCGCACGGCAATAGTGGGACAAAGGTGGAGTGCAGCTGCCTCCCTGTTAGAATACTTGAAACCCACTCAGTTCTTTTATAGGCAGTTACTTTGTGAACCTTCTTTAATCCAATCATATCATTCCACAGTCATCTCTTTTGGGGGATCATTTTGGGGGAGGACATGCAGGGTAAGATGAACTGGCCACAGTAACACAGTAAATGAGTGGCAGAGTTGGGGCTGGAATCCAGCCCATTGCTCTTTCTACCATAGCATACGGTGGGTAGCTCTGTGGGTAGAATCTAGTGTATTGGAGGGTAGAATAGAGGGATGCTCCCCCTCAGTTATCTCACCAGAGAAGTTAAGTACCTTTCCCAAGGTTACACTGCTTGTGAATAGATACGAATAACTGCTCTTGTCAAGATTTCTACCTCCCACATAGTATCTAACAGGGCAAAACATAGTACTTAGGAATTGAACTGATTGAGATTGAACAGTGCAAAAAAATCCCCACAGTATTTAGGGATTGAATTGAGTTTGAGTGAATACCCTCTGGGAAGTTGTCTTATCACTCACTACATTTTCTTCCCACTCCTCCTTTTCATTTGGTTACACTGAATCCAGCCAAACACATTAATCAGATGGGCAGGGTTACACATTGTTTTCACAGGAAATCCTCCCTTCCTCCTTCAGTTTACCTAAAAGGATGGGAAGCAGGGAGGGGGGTTTGCCAGTGTATACACACACATGTCGATGTATATATTTATACACCACACATATCCATACACACATGTGTCTGTAAAACAATATGTGCTCACTGCAGCATCTGGCTTTCTGTGAAGTCTTGACCTCTGCTCCCTTACAGCTGTGTTGGCTCAGAGTTTAGAGCAAGTCTTGCAAGACTCCCTGAAGAACATATGTTTCTAAGCAGTCCCTAGTTCTTTATCCATTTTTTTTTTTTTGGCAGGGGGATTCATAAAAGGTTACTACCTAGGACCTTATACTGCTAGCCCTGCTTCCCCAAAGAATTGCTCATGGTTGAAGCAACCATCCACTAAAGACAGAGTTGGTGTGAAGAATCATGCTCTGAAATCCCTCCCCCCTTCAGCTTTCCCACAAGTTGGTAATGTTTTTTTGTTTTTGTTAATCCTCACCCGAGGATATTTTTCCATTGATTTTTAGGGAGAGTGGAAGAGAGAGGGAAAGACAGAGAGAAACACTGATGTGAGAGAAACACATCAATTGGTTGCCTCCTGCACGCACCCTGACCAGGGCCCAAGCCTGGGAGGAGCCTGCAACCAAGACATGTGCCCTTGACCGGAAATGAACCTGAGACCCTTTGGTCCGCAGGCCGATGCTCTGTCTACTTAGCCAAACCGGCTAGAGTGGTAATGTCTTACTTCTTAATTGCTTATGCTCTTCATACTGACTGCTTTGTCAGGAAAAAGGGGGTGGCAAATTTGGACAAGAGGTAGCTTCTTAGCCTCGTTGTTTCAAAGTAGCAGATTAAAAGAATTCAGTAGCAACCCAAGATGCCCTGATTGGTACTCAGCACCTTGGCCCTGCCACTTCCATAAGTGCTGTCCTCACAGGCCTGGGTTGGCTTGGTGGATTTTGGGAAGTCCACCCGCATTTGAAATGGTCTGCCAGCGTGATCTGACAGCTCCTACATGTGAGGCGGGGGTCAACCAGCCAGGAAAAACCAGGCACTCTGATTCCTGCTGAGTTTTTGTTTGGTTGGAGTATCGTGTATTTGCTGTTGTAAATGGCCACATGATAGAGTAATTTTAAAAAGTTAAAAATAGATTTAAGACAGTGTTTCAAGGAAAGCACAGCATGGCTTCCCAGTTTTTATAAACTTGGTGAGTTCCCTTTGCATTGCTTGATGCCTTTGGAGTCCACCAGCTGAGAGCTAAGTCATGATTTCAGGGGAAGGGAAGGAAATTCATCAGTTCTGTATTTACAGCTTGCTGGATGCCACACATTTAATCCACCTCCTTTCTCCGCTCCCAACGTCTCCATCTTCCCTAGCTCAGTAAAACACTTGGCGTGTTCCTTGATTTCTCTTCCTCTTAGAAACTACATCAATTCGTGAAATTGGCTTTATCTGCAAAATATCAACAGACTCCAGTAATGTCTTATCACTTCCACCTGCTTGTATCACAGCTCTGGAGAAAGAGTGAGAAGGGAAAAATCACATTTAGTTTGGACTTACATCCTAACTGATCTTGTTTCCAATTACCCTTTTAAAACCTATTCTTCAAACAGTAGCCAGAGGGATCCTTTAAAAATATAAGACAGATCATGGTCTCTTCTATTCTGAATCTTCCAATGGTTTCTTATGTCATTCAGTGCAGACACCCACGTCCAACTCATGGCGCACAATGCTGTAGGTAACTGAGTCCTCATTTCTTCTTTCACCTTACCTCCCATGTGTCGGAAGGACTTCATTACTCTCTTGCTTCATTTAGGATAATATTAAAATACTACCTTGTCAGAGAGACCTTTTCTGACCCACTGTATATCCCACCCCAGCTTTCTCTTTCCCCATCCTGGCTTGTTGTTCATAGCACTCAATTAATACCACCTGACATATTATATATTCACTTGCCTAACTTGTTTATCTTTTTTTCTCCTCTCACCAAAAAGTTTATTTTATAAGAGGGGCTTTCTTTTATTCACTGCTTTACAGCCAGTTCTTTATACTAAGTGGTTCATAGTAAATGTTTAGTTAATGTGTATGGAATGAATGAATACGTTGGATTGGCTGGGTCAAGAAGTAAGTGGGGACTCACACACACAGCCTGTGGCAGAGCTTATAGAAGAACATGCAGAATACACTTTAGCCCAGGTCTGGAGAATAAGAAGGTAAATCCATGGCTAAAATGAGACCTGGAGGGGTCAAAGGTGGTCAAAGAGGACCAGGTTATGTTACCAATCCAAGGACTTCAAGGTAGTCACCAGAATATGGGGGCGGGGGGGAACCCATCTGATGCTGAACTGACTTTCATTGAGCACTTCTTATATACTTGTATTAGTTTTCTAGGACTGCCATAAAAAATTACCACAGCGTTGTCTGTACACCCAAAGGCTGTGGCTCAATTCTCAGTCAGGGCACATATCTAGGTTACGGGTTCCATCCCTGGTCCAGGTGTGTACAGGAGGCAACTAATTGATGTTTTTCGATCACATCAATGTCTCTCTCTCTCTCCATTCCTTTCTCTCTAAAGTTAATAAAATATATCCTTAGGTGAAGATAAAAAATTGACCTCAAACTTGATGGCTTAAAACAACAAAAACGTATTCCTTCACGGTTCTAGAGGCTGGCCATCTGAAATCAAGGTGTTGGCAGGGCCATGCTTACTCTAAATGCCTCGGGGAAGAATCCTATCTTTCTTTGTCCAGCTTCTGGTGGTCAGGCACAGTTTGACCTGTAGCAGCATAAATCTACTTTCCATCTTCCTCCATCTTCACATGGCATTCTTCTCTTCATTTCTAGGCCTCCTCTCCTCTTCTTATAAGGATGCTAGTCACTGAATATAGGGCCTACCCTAATCCAGTATGGTCTCATCTTAATTCAATTATATCCTCGAAGACCCTGTTTTCAACTAAAGTCACAATCTGGGGTTCTAGGTGGTCATGATTTTTTTTTGGGGGGGCACTATTCAAGTCACTACAATACTCAATCCCTTTATTTGATTTATATCCTCACAACAATTCTCTGAGATAGTATTATTGGCAGCATTTTACAGACACAGAAACCAAGGCTCTGAGAACTTTTTGGTCAATTGCCTAAGGCCATATAGCCAGAAAGTGAGTTCAAACCTAAACGTATTTGACTCCACAACTCATCTAGTTTGATCCTTTGACTATACCATGTTGACTCCAATCCTTGCCACAATAATATGTTCAAAAGATGCTTGATGGTTAGGAAACTGCTTGTCATGGTAACCCTGTATTTAAAACGATGGTACTGGGCTCCCTTGAAAATACAACCAACACTTGTAACAGCTCACAGTACTTTTACAAGTTACGGAGCAAAAACCCAAATATCAGGAAGATGGGAGAGACCCTATTCCGGGAGTCTCTGGACCTGAGATTACTGTCCAGGGGAGCTCTTGCTGGGGGTCTTGGAAAGAGGAAGAGAAGCAGTTCCTCAAAGGAGCACTGAGGAACTTCTGCAAGAACAGTGTTTTCCTGGGACAGGGTGTGAAATAAAAGGCAGTTGTCAAATGGACTAGGACCACCTTGGGATCTGCTTTAGGCCAGAGCACACATGAAAGGAAAAACAAACAAACAAACAAAAACACTGCAGCACAGAAACTGTTTCGTATCTACTCAGAATGATGCATTCGCTGTGTATGGGTTTATTTGTAGTGAAAAGATAGGAAAATTATGCCTTATCATGTTTTCCCCTCCCCTGGTCTTTATAAATAATCTGCAATGCAACTACAAGCAACATTTTTCAGGATTTCCCCTGTGAAATACTCTACAACTTTCCACCTGGGAATATATTTACTTCTGTGTTCTAAACTCCCTGGTTTGCATTAGCTTTCACCAAGCCTCTGGCCTAGAGTTATCATTGGTTGAAAGCCAGCTGGTCAACCAGAACCTTAAAGAGTTTAAATCTCTGTATGGTTTTCCCTTTCTAGGAATTTCAGCACAAAAGAGGCATTTCAATGGTCTGAGATGGTATCTTGTTTCTTTCTTTCTGCAGCTTCTCTTTTCTCTACCCCTTTACTCTTGTTCCCCTAGCCACCTTCCTCTCCTCTTTCTCTTCCTTCCATTCTCTCTTTTCTCATCTCTTTTTTTTTCTCTTCTGCCTCCCCCTCTCACTCCTGCCCTAACCATCTCTCTTTATCTCTCTCCCCTCTCTCCAGCCTTTCTTAATCATTTCGATATTTGTCAGATCTCATGGCCTTATTAAGTAAGCCAGGCAATTAGCTTTTCCCCCCCTTTTTGTCTAAAGTCTTAAAAAATAATTTCCGTCAACTCCCCAGCTTCCAGTGTGTGTTGGTGCCAAGACTGTCTAGAATGTTTACACTGCTGATAAAATTAATTGTGGCTTTCAGACACAAACTCTCTCAACTTCCTTCCCAACTCTTCTGGACTTTTGGATAGGTTTACACCCGTCCTTTCTTTCCTCTTTGGTGTTTCAGAGGCAGACATGTTCCTCTTTTTCTTGCTTCCTAAATTACCCCCTCTTTAACTCTTATTTATATCAATTAGCCTATGAAAATTTGTTTTGTTAAATGTCATTTCACTTAAAGTCACAGAGCCTATCAATGATGTTGAGTGAGGACTTACTGTATTTCAGAGATTTATTTAAAAAAAAAAAGAGCCCTAACTGGTTTGGCTCAGTGGATAGTGACGGCCTGCGGACTGAAGGGTCCCAGGTTCGATTCCGGTCAAGGGCATGTACCTTGGTTGTGGGCACATACCCAGTGGGAGGTGTGCAGGAGGCAACTGATCGATGTTTCTCTCTCATCGATGTTTCTAACTCTATCCCTCTCCCTTCCTCTCTGTAAAAAATCAATAAAATATATATTTTTTAAAAAAGATATACCTTAGGGCCTGTTGACACTAAGCTCACCTTTTACCCTTTCTACATATATAATTTGGGGCAAAGAAATTCAGAAATACTAATTCTCAGAAACAACAAACTGAAACTTGAAGCTTTTCTTTTTTCATTTTTAAAAAATTGATTTTTAGAAAGAGAGAGAAAGGGAGAGAAAGAAAAACACCAATGTAAGAGGGGAACATCAATCAACTGCCTCTTGCACACCCGCTACCGAGGATGGAGCCCACAAACTGGGCATGTGAACAGATCAGGAATAGAACTGGCAACCTTTAGGTGCATGGCATGATACCCAACCAACTGAGCTACACAGCCAGAGCTAAAGCTTCAAGTTAAAGAAGAAAAAAAAAATGCACTGGAGTTGACTTCTTAAGGCAGGAAGGCAGATGACTCATTATTAAGACAAATAAAAATAAGTTTCAGATAAAAAATATTTGTTTCAAAAATAAATAAATAAAAGTTTTCTGGTTAATCTTCAGTTAACTGGAAAATGTAGGTAAATAGAACTCTTCATTTGAGAGCCTTTTGTTTAACTAAACATTACTCTAACCTACTTTTTCTTTAGCCACTTAGATTTAGATTTAGCTCATAATCTACGAGTTTTTCTAATTTCAGGTCCTGAGCATGGTGCTCGCAAATACATTATATATTCATCGTGAGAACAGTTTAAGAGATCAAAATTCAAATGCAGAATATATGATGGTATAGTTGAAAGACAACTGGTACCATGTTGACCACTTACAATCTATGGCTGTTTGGGTGATATCTTAACCCTTCAAATTTTTATTTCAATTCTACGGGAAATATCTTTCACAAATCTATCTTTCAGAGTTGTTGTTTTGAGATTAAATGAGAATAAATACAAATTGATGCATAAAGAATTGCAATTAAAACATTTTTCTTATAGAAGTGAGTCGATCCTAACCTGTCTCCCCACCCTACTTCCTGAAATGCAGCCAGTAATCTTAGACAAAAGCAGTTCCCTTTCCCCTCCAGTTTTAGCCACACTGCCGATGATAAAGGCTGGCATAGTCCTGCCCTCAGCTAGTGCAGAGTTGCTCCTCAGTGAAGGCCAGTACTGAAATGAAAATGTATTAGATACTGCTCAAGTTCAAGATTATATATCTGGATTGGCTCCAGATTATTTCCTATGTAGAGAATCTTTCAAGGATAGACTCATACAACATGTCTATCAAACAGCAGCTTTGGGGACCTGATATGTACCCAGTCTGGAAAGGGCCCTAGCCCAGCATACAATGGAGGGCTCAATGTACTTGAAAGAGTAACGTTAACAACAATAGCAGCAGCAGCAGTGCAGTCATAGCTCGTACTGTGTGCCATAAAATCCTCACAACAGCCTTCTGCCGCGGGTCCTATTATGATGCCCGTTCTACCCAAATGGACCTGGAGACTCAGAGAGATTAAGTAGTAGTTACTTCTCAAACTTATTGAAGTATTGAGTACAATAAACACTGTGCTAAACACTTGACGTGAACTTTCCCGTTTGATTTTTACAATAGTCTCATGAAACAAGTACAATTATTATCCCAGTGGTACATAGGAGGAGAAAGAGGCCCAGAAGGTTAGATGACTTGCCTAGCAGCTAAGCTGAGACTTGAGGGCAGGGAGGTGTGAATCCAAAATGAACTCTATTAACCATTCACTATGGAGCTTGAAACCATTCCAGACGAGTAATCGTTTCAACTTAAATAAGTGATTGGCTGATTTCACTGGATTCGTGGAATTTCACTGTTGTCAGTGCTATATTTACAGTCTGTGCAGGGGTGACTTCGAATCTTGCAAGCATGGTGGTTTTAGCTATTCCTGGCCTGAGACTCTGCTTTTGATCTTCTCCAGGACTAACCTCAAACCTACATGGATTTAGTGATGGGAGATCATCTGTGTACTATCAAAGTCACCTTAGAGATTCTTTTGTTTTGTTTTTTTTCCCCTTTACATTGGCTTTCTGCCAGCTCCCAAGTTTGCCTTGGCCTTTCTAAAATTGTATAATAGATTGGAAATACATCATTTCCCTTTCTAATTCTTCTGGCTAGATCACACAGCATGACTTTTTATAAAAGGATCACTACCCAAATTTTAAATGTTATTAAATTAATTAAAATTTAATTAAATTTTACAGGGAGGATAAGCATAAAAGATAATAAGGAGGCAGGGGAAATGGCAGGCTTTAGGATTATGTTGAAAAAAATAGCATGGGCTCTCCGAGGGGAGGTGGTAGGAGACGGATTTAAAAGGAAGGACTTGGGAGAGACAGTATTAGAGAGGTCCTATTGGTCTACTGGAAGTGTTCACGACTTTCCTTGGGCATCAGCACCACTAGAAAAGTTAGGGTGTGGCATGCTGCATTGTGCTCACTGCTGGTATGCAGTTTATTTCACCATAGCAGCTAAAACAAAGGTTATCCAAGAGTTTGGGAGCCTCATAAAAGAAAATATTTCCCAATAGAATAAAAAAAGAATTCAGCTTTAAGCCAGAACACTGAAAACTTCCGGGATGGCTTTTAATAAATTGTGTTCATATTCTCATTGAAATCTTAGAGGTGGAAGGGGACAGTGAGTTTATTTGTTTCTCTTCTGAAGTGAAGGCAGGACCTCCTCTCTTGCCACAGCTCTGGGAAGTTGCCCTTCCGAGTCTTTTCATTGACATGAAGTTCACTACTTAGCCAAAACAGCATCCTGTTTGCAGCTGGTTCTGGTATTGGATGCCTTTCTTTAAAAAAAAAAAAATTATATATATATTGATTTCAGAGAGGAAGGGAGAGGGACAGAGAGAATCATTGATTGGCTGCCTCCTGCATGCCCCACACTGGGGATCGAGCCTGCAACCCAGGCATGTACCCTGACTGGAAATTGAACCATAATCTCCTGGTTCATAGGTCAATGCTCAACCACTGAGCCAATGCGGCCAGGCGGGATGCCTTTATTTTCAAAGCAGCATCTTACAGTATTACCAAAAACTGCTGATTTGACAGAGAAATTAGAGAAAAACCACATAAATCCAGAAGCATTAAGATATACATATAAAAATTGGACCTGATCATTTTCGTGTATCCTTTATGCCTTTGAGAAACAATTTATCTCAAAGGCTAAAGGCATTCTTTTTGCAATTGGACTACCTGGATTCAAATCTTTATTTCAAAATTGACTAAGATAAGTCACTTTTAATCTCCATTAACTTGGTTTCTCCATTTTTAAAATTGGATAACATAGCCAGTTGGTTAGATTGTTATAAATGCTGAATAATTTCACATCAGAATTACACATTAGGAGGGATTAGCATAGTGCCAACTAATAGTAAATGTTCAGCTAATGATAGTCTTAATTAGCATAAAGTCTCTCTGAACTCTCCTACTCCAGTGGTGGTCCTATTATATATTCATGTAGTCTCTAATTTGTATTTGACATAGATCAGAGAGGCCTTTGACAATAATTTGGTCACAATCATGTTGAGGCACACACAAAAAGACTTGATCAATGTGCTTGCTTTAATGGCTTATGTAAACATAACAATGTTGATTAAAACCCTATGTGTTAAGCCCTGGCCGGGTAGCTCAGTTGGTTAGAGCATCATCCCAACACACAAAGGTTGCAGGTTCAATTCCCAGTCAGGGCCCATGCAAGAATCAATCAATGAATACATAAATAAGTGGAATAACACATTATGGCACTCTCTCACTCCCTTCTCCCCCATCCTCTCTATCTAAAATCAATCAATAAATAAAAAATTTTAGAGAGGAAGTTGAAGGCATGGGGGGGGGCAGGGGGAGGGGCAAGTAAAAAAAAAATTTTAAAAACCCTATGTGTGAAAAAGTTATATTTTGAAGACCCATTAATTTCTTCTTTATAGAATCCTAAGATGCAGAACTGGCTGTGTAATTATTGCTGTGCTTGCATTGAAACTGGTGGTTTACCATTAATGGAAGCATTCAAATGTCTGTGGGTGGACTCAAGAGAGAGGATGGCAACAGATAGCATGTGGTTAGTAAAACAAAGACAAATACTGTACAGTAGAAACCCAAGCCCCAACCAAAATGGAACATTCCATGGAGAAAGTGGGTTTTTTGGGCCTCAACTGTTATGTTTAGTCTGATTCTGCAAGATTTCAAGGAATAATGCTTGGATATGTTCAACTATGGTGGGCATTTGTGGCATTTTTTTTCTTGCTAAAGAAATAATTTTGGGGTACTGCTTAGTATTATTACAAGCTAAATTAATTGTGGGTTCTGGTAGTAGAGTCAGAATGTTGGCCAGACAGGAACTTTAAAAGAAAAGCAATCAATCAGGACAAATATTAGAATTTAGTAAACAAGTTTACATGTTGATATTTTCTTTTTAGTAGCAACATGACTATGATCACTATTATTTGTTGTTTGAGTATTGTCCATTCATGGCATTAGGACACTGGTAAGTGGAAGAAAATAGAATTAGAGATACTTCTGAGTAGGCAGAATCATTGCAAAACCCCAACATGAATTCAGTGGTCACTATTGTTAGCCCTTTACATTCTTTATATCATTTGATTTCTCTGCAACATTCTCTATATTTTATAGGTAGAGATTTGTGATTTATAGGTGACAGATTTGTGATTTAAGATTTTTGGTTCCAAAACTCATGACATAGTGGAAGGCAACCACTAAAAATTACAGCATGCCAGTGGTAATATAGTTTAGGACTACAATAACTGAAATATAGTTTGGTGAAAACAGATGAATTAACCATGCATCTATGTTTGTATTCTTTTTTTAACCTGTGACTATTACTATCTACAACAATTTACCTTGGTACAACTTATAAACATCATATTCCTTTTTGAATTTAGCAGTAATCATAGACTAAAAATAGGATAGGCATTATTATTTGTACATTTTTGTTCCCATTTTATAGATGACGTTCAGAGAGCTTTAGTAACTTCCCAAAATCAAACCACTAGTGAGTGCGAGTTAGAGGTGATAAAGAGTTAGTTCCACCCTCCTCTTTCCAGTATATCTTTTTGAGAAGGCCACTAAATACAAATAATCTAGATGTTCTTTCTTCAGAAGGATGGAGAAGTGTATTGATACTCCTCACGTTATTACAGCTTAAGTAGCTCTAATGAGCTCTATCTCCAGGAAATACTCTTTTGTCATTGTCTATCATCATTAATAGTGACAGGAGATGTGGGATCGCTTTCTTACTTTCTTGAGTTTGTAGGTAGCACATCACTTTAGTTAAAATATTCATTTGAATATAGTTAGCTCAGAAAATAGCCAAATATTTTGCAAGCCTGGGCTTTTTGTTTGAGGGAATTAAAATGAGTTTACAATTTAAAAGAGAGTCAAGGTAATAAACATCCTAGTAATGAAAATATTCAGTGGCAAATGTCCCTGGCAGTTAGAGATTATTTAAAGCTATTTTTATCCTCCCATTTCATTGAATGTTTCTCTATTGAGTGGATCATTTTAAAAATGTCAGAGTTTTGTTAAATCCACCAGGAACAGCCCTTAAGGACCTCTTTATTATGTAAATTGTAGATCACTATAGGCAGATAACATAGTAATTATATATTTTAAAAACTACCTTAGGCAAGAGAACCCAAAATATAAAACCTTTCTCTCTCCGTAGCAGGAACTGGAATTTGCGCCTGAGGCTCATCTTTAATAAAGATCCTTAGTTACCAGGCAACAGCCAAATGAATTAAGCTTCTTTATCATACCAGCCAAAGCAATCCCTTCCAAAGTGAAGGCCTTGTTTTTTTCTCTGATTAATTCTTCACTTTGTAACTCATCTTGAAGTTCATCTCATTATCCTCATCATTATCCAAACCATGTATTGCTGATGGACAGTACAGTTACAAAGAAAGTAAAACAGGGAACAGATTACTAGGAATGGGAAAGAACATTTGGTTGGTTAAGATGCTAATAGGTTTTCCCTTAAACCTTTTTCCTCCCTCCCTGCTCCGCCCCCCCACCCCCCACCTTTTTGTTGGTTTTATATATATTGATTTTATTGATTAGGTCATTTCCCACAGGGAAAACAATTGATGCCAAAGACTCATTAGCAGAGGTCCTCAAACTATGGCCCTCGGGCCACATGCAAATACAAATATTGTATTTGTTCCCGTTTTGTTTTGTTTTTACTTCAAAATAAGATATGTGCAGTGTGCATAGGAATTTGTTCATAGTTTTTTTTTTTAAACTATAGTCCAGCCCTCCAGCGGTCTGAGGGACAGTGAACTAGCCCCCTGTTTAAAAAGTTTGAGGTCCCCTGCTCATTAGAGATGTGGTAGCACATTCATGGATGAGAGGTTTCTTCAAAGAAATTGAGGATATACTGCTAAGAAGATGAGGAAGGACACTGCTGACTCATATAAAGATATCATCAAAGACTCAGGACAACAAATAACTTAAGCACATTGATTAGATATTGGTAGGCACATTGCTGAGAAAGAATTTAGAATCTTAATAACTTTTGTGGTAATCACTATCTTGATTCATTTCTTCCCCCCAACCCCTCTCAGGAGTAAAGTAACTGATTCTAAACACAAGTATTAATTACTCTAAATAATGCCACTTACTCCTGGGAAATTACAGTGTGCTGTCCTGCTAAGCAAGGTTTCTTAATCTTGGCCCTATGGACATTTTAAACCAAATTTTTGTTGCTGCGGGGGCTGTCCTTTGCATTGCAGAATGTTTAGCAACATCCCTGGCTAAACCCCTAGATGCCTACTACGTAGTAGCTCCCCAGCTGTGACAACCAAGAATGTCTTAAGATGTTGCCAAATGTTTCTTGGAACACAAAATCACCCCCAGGAGATATGAAGAAAGAAAATACCCATCGTAAAGTATACCAGCCCCTCCATTTTGTGTTTGACTCTATGTTCTAAAACGAGTACACCGCTGATAATAAATGCTGCCGTGTATTGGGTTCCTACAGTGTCCCAGTTTCTAGACAGACATGTATTGTTCAGAACATTTGGTTCAAAGTACAAAAACTGAATCCTCTGGGAAAAGTGGACCAAAAAACAAAAACAAAAAAAAACCAACAAAAAAAAAAACTTATAGGAAGGTCAGTCCTATGAAATGAATCATAGAATGGAAGAAAAGCTAAAAAACAAAAACAGAAATCAGAAATGACAATCAATGAAGCTCCTGTCCTTTAAGAAGTTGTCTTTTAGGTCAATCATTTCAAGGCTCATACATTAGGAAATCTTCTTGAACCTTATTACCTGTCTTAATTCTCAGTGGTTTTGAGATTCAAATTCCAAGAAAAGAGTCTGACAGCCTAGTGTCACATGATCATCCATTGGCCAGAGCAGATGGTGCCTTGACTATTATTGCACAGAGACCTTACCTAATGGGGAAAACTTAGGCACTATTACCATAAGAAGGTATGCTGTATTTTGGGAAGAACAAAACAACCAATATCTCTACATGAAATTGTCAAGATTCCCTTCAACAAGGTGGAGAGTAGGTATTATCATTGTTTGCAAATGAGGAAATTGAAATTCAGTGTATAAGTAATTCATACCTGGTCACTAAGTTAATGAATGGCAGAAACAAGATTGAAGTTCAGGTCTGTTTGACTCTGAAGTCTCTACTCCTTCCTGCATGTCCCAGTGTTTTTATATTTATGGACATACTCATATTTAGTCTCCCATTGATTTGATCAATCACAATCAGTCAATCAACAGGTGCTTATTGAGGGCAAATAAGACCCATTGTCATGATATGAAGTGAATGTACTATAAACAAATTAATTCCAGCTCAAGAGAACCTGCATCCTAGTTGGGGAGACACAGCCATGAAGAAATAAAAAAATAAGGTCAAATGCTAAATTATGTGATGCATGTAACTAAAAATCAAGGAGCGTAAATATTAAACTACTAATTACACTGAAAAGGGAGAAAAACTAACCAGAAATTGACTTTCTCACAGTTCTGGAGTCCGGAAATCTGAAATCAAGCTAATATTAGGGCCTTGCTCCCTCCAGAGGCTCTAGGGAAGATTCTATCCCTTCCATCTTCCAAATTCAGGTGGTTGTCGGCATTTGTTGGCCTGTGGCCACATCACTCCTATCTCTACCTCTATCATCATAAGGCTTTTTCCTCTGTGTCAGATCTCCCTCTGCCTGACTCTTATAATGGCAGTTGTCATTAAATTTTGGGAGCACTCAGGTCATCTAGGATGATCTCCTCACCTTGAGATCTTTAATTTAATTATGTCTACAAATACTCTTTTCCAAATAAGTTAACATTCATAGCTTCTGGAAATTATGGAATAAAAAAATATTTTGCGTGCCACCATTTAACCCACTACACAAAATTTGATGTGCTTGTTGGCTCTGTCTTATAACTCTGGATTTTTTCTTGGGAAGAAAAAAGCCCACAGACTTGGAGGAAGATACAATATGGTAATTAAGGTCACAAATCCTGGAATCAGAGAGCAAATATTTGATTTTCAAATATGACACATACAACTACATATAATTGGGTTATTATTTTCTCAATAATAGTACCTCATTTATAATAATCACTATAATAACACTTATTGAATGTTTATTATGTACTAATACCTATGCATGTATTACACATATCATATCTATATATATAAAAGGCTAAGTGACCATCCAACTGTCCGACCAGTAGCTATGATGCGCGCTGACCACCAAGGGGCAGACACTCAATGCAGGAGCTGCCGAGCTGCGGTGACTTGGCAGCTGAGGTTCTTGGGTGACACACCCTGAACCAGAGAGGAGGGAGCCTGATTCCGGGGTGTGTCACCCGAGAACCACCCTCTTGCAATCCAAGACCCCTGGAGGGGATGTAGGAGAGCTGGTTTTGGCCAATCTCCATAGGCCAGGCCGAGGGACCCCACCTGCCAGAGGGACCCCGTTCACTCGGCAGACGACCGCAGGAGGTGTGGCCAGCCAGGAGGAACTGTGGAAGGTTGGCTCCAGGGCCAGTCCGGCCTGTCTTGCCCAGTCCCACCTCACTGGCCACCTTCTAATTAACTTTCTTTCAATGTGCACTAATCTGTGCACCGGGACACTATTTTAATCATAAAAGGAGTCCTTTGAGGCGGGTATTATCATTTACCCCATCTTAATGATGAGGAAGCTGAAGCATTAGAGAGGTTAAGTAACATGCTCAGAGTCATAAGCTAGTAGGTGGCATCAAACTCATATCTATGAACTATAACTGCCTTAATATTACATTATCACAATACCTAACTAGAAGATTGCTGAAGGTATTAAAGATATTATCAGGTGTATAAGAGCTCCTTAACAAATAGTCATTATTAAAACTAAACCATAACACCTCACCAAAGATATACAGATGGCAAATCAACATATGAAAGATGCTCAACATCCTCTGTTTTTATGGCCCTTGGTACACTTGCTATACCCATCAGAAGAGTGTTTTCTGAGAATTATTATTATTTTCCTTTTGGAAAGCCTTGTGGTTTATTAGGTGACCAAAGTTCATGGGGTGAGGGAGTTAGAAAGCAAATATCTAAGAAAGGTGGGGGAGCAAAGAGAGACAGCATTGTGAAAACAGAAGACCCTTTTATCATGTTTGTTTTAATCCTTTTACACATACATGGAGTGCTTAGCACATTCCTGACTGCACTGTTTACATGCATTATCTTTACAATCTTTGCATCAATCACTGAGGGGGAAGATGCTTAGTTGTCATTTTCTGCTTAAACGCTAGACCCCACAAATATCTTAAGAAAATAGAAGTAGAGAATTTGGGGCTCACCCTCAGTTTATTTCTCATTGCTTCAGAATCTTTACCTCTCAAGTCCTATCTTGGTTTTTCTCTAATATCTTTGGTTTTTATTTTTTTCGTGTATGTATGTGTATGTGTGTTTTGTCCATATTTTGTAGTTGTTTTCTGGTGAGATGAGTTTAATATAAATAGCTCCATTTTACAGCAAAAGGGAACTGAGGCTCAAATAGAGTAATCACCTAAGCTGAGGCAGCTAGCAAGCAATGAAGCTCAAATTCACCCAGAACCCTCTGATTCTAGGAAGTGCACTCTTAACCTGTTGTTTTCATTGAACTCACTGGTCACTTGCAAACCTCAGAACACAGTGGACATTTCTAACTGGATATTTTTATGAAATAAATGAGCTAGTAGTTGAATCAGTTCTCCCATAAAATGCAATTACCACTGAAAAATAGTAGCCTATGTTTAAAGGACCTTTGTTTCAAACCATTATCTTTTACTTACTTGTTCTATTTTATTACATCAGCATTAAAAAAAAAAGCATACTCACTCAAC